GGGCACACAAACACACCTGGGTCATTCCATGTTACTCGTTACTCGGCCAATGTGCAGGTCGTATAAAGCATAACACCTCTGCACCATAACTTACAGTCATCCTCCTTACGTTCACTGTTTGCCCGTGACTGGGAAGTCAGTGGCTTGCCTGAGTTGATGTGAGCAGTGGATATGCCCCAAGAACAGAGATTGACTTTAGATCTATTCATTATTCCTTTATTGAAGATAGACAGCTTACAAATCATTATGCTGAACACCATGGGATTCAAGCAGTGACTAACACTTCCTTCTCCCTGGAGCAAGCATCTGGCCAGATGGGGCTGGGGTAGTTCTGTGGTGAGGCCTGGGGAGTGGTGACAGAGGTAGGAATACCTGTCCACCTTGAGCAGGGAGTTAGACATTCCTAACATGAAATGTTTTTGTAAGGATTGTGTAAGAAGACTTCCTCGGATGGGAGCATTCAAGGAATTTGTGTCTTTTAAATCAGGTCCCAGTCTGTTCCTGGCAGCACTGTCTGAGGCTAGCAGTGTCTATAGAATAGGAAACTGAGTTTTAAAAAGAAAGCAGAGCTTAGGGCACAACCTAGTCAGTACAGTGCTTACTATGTAAGGGTAAGGGACTGAATTTGGTCCCCAGAGCCCGTATGTTAAGACAAAACATATGAAAAGGCTAGTGGACTATACCTGTAATTCCAGAAAGCCCGGATCCCAGTGAGAGGCGCTGTCTCAAAACACAAGGTAAATGGCTCCTAGGAAAATAACACCATGGTTGAGCGCAGTCTCCACATACCTGTGTACTATGCACATGGACCTGCACACACGTGCACCCACACACAACACGCACACACAAGTAACTATACCAGAACTTTATGATGTGGGGGCATTTGTTTTCTTCAAACTGTCACTCATTAAATGATGCCTGCTGGCTATTGTGGTAGTTATGGTTTGGTAGGTGGGTAGTTTTTTGTTTTGTTCTTTTTGAGTTGTTATTTTATTATTACAAAGCAGAACATAGAAGGAAAAAATAAATTTGAAGAAGAATACCATTTACTTTGGCCAAACAGTAAATTCTACTGAGTGTTAGTGGAATGAAAATACAATCTGATGCTTGTGGTTGCATTCTATTCCATTCATTCATTCATTTGTTCATTCATTTATTCTTTGTGTCTTTCACGTCATGCTTCTCAATCCCACCCATCTCCTGTCCCATCCCAAAATAAAACAAAATAAAATTTAAGAGGAAGGGAGGGGTAAGAAGGAGAAAATCTCATCATAGAAGCTGCACATATACTTCCCTACCCCGCCCTGTGCTCCAGCAGATCAGCAGATCACACGGGGTGGATGTTGGGGTGAGCCAACACATGACCCTGCTTCTGGGACTGGGTAGTTGCAGGGTTGGTCAGCCCACCAGCTCTCAACTGTCTTTCCCACCAGTGTTGGTGGGTTCTCCAGCATTGCCCTGGCTGGTTCACCCCTTGCAGCAGTGAGCAAGGGGTGGGGCCAGTTCTTGGGCTTTCACATCCTCAGGATTGATTCTCTCACACCTACATCTTCAGGGCCAGCTCTACTGCATTTCCCAGGTGAGGTGCAGGGCCTGCTCTCCCGACTGCCACAGCTAATGAAGGGCAGCGCCCCTTCTCCGACTATTATGACTTCAGGGCCTCCCACCTGCCTCAGACATTGATAGGGGAGGGGCATCTCTCCCCAGCCCAAGGCATCACAAGACAGCTCTTCCATGCTCGCATCAGGGCTGGCTCACCCATACCTGCATTAACAGGATCAGTTCTACTGTGCTGCCCAGGTGTGGTGCAGGGCCTGCTCTCCTGAGTGTTGTAACTGGTGGGACACAGGGCCAGCCCTCCCACCTGCCTCAGGTGTTGATGGGGACAGGGAGTGTTGATCTCTCTCCCTCCCATGCCCCACAAGACAGATGAGTAGTGGGAGCAGCTTTCTATGTTCACAGCCTCAGCAGTGGTAGTGGGTAGTTTTTCGAGACAAGGGCTATGTAGCCAAGGTTACTTCTAACACATGATTTTCCTGCCTCAGCCTTCCAAGTGCTAGGATTACAGAGTTGTGCTACCCTACCTGGATTATGTGTTTGTGTGTGTGTGTTTTTTCTCAGTATATTTGTATAGTAAATTATCTGGTATCTTTCTCACTGTATGTGGAAGAGGCTGGGTTTAGTTGATGCACCTAGGTAACTTCTGACAGTGCTGTGATCTGTTTGGTCTTGTTTGTTTATTTTGGAGTCAGGGTTTCACAATGTATGAAGTGCTGGCTGTCCTGGAACTCACTGTGTAGAAAAGGCTGGCCTCAAAAACTTGGAGCTCTGCCTACCACTGTGTGATGATGAAGGGCCTGTACCACCAGACATGAGGTATCTGCTGTTTCCTGACATAGCACGATGCAGCCCAGACATGCCGCCAGGTATTGTGGACCAAGCTTCCATGGCTGGTCTTAGTGATGACAACCCCAACTCAGGCTGAGTTCCAGCCTCCCTTCACTCATCAGTCACCTGCCAGAGGGACCAGAAGAACTTTCCGAGGCCGTCACAGATCATCGCACGCAGCACTGTGATGCTTAGCCACTGAGGAGGTTTTGGGGAAGGAAGTAGCCCTGACATCATAGAAACATAGAAGTGAGAAAGACATCGACTTGGGGTGTTCCTCTTGACCAGGCACCTCAGAGGGGTTGGAGCCTGTTCTGTCCTTCTTGGTCTCACTCACTGCCGATCCAGAGACGGATGCACCCACCTACCACTTACCTAGTTGTTGGCCAAGGCTCTGCCTTCCGAATAAAACCTTTTTCCAGTGTATGATCTCATCAGTCTATCAGCATCGCCTTCAGACAGGCCAGCTAGTGCTAGTCCTCTCAGACTTTCTAACTCTTGGAGAACATCACATGACTTTTAATCATTTAGCTTCAGCTCAACAACAAAAATGCCCAGCTAGCCACATCTGCATTCTCCCACTTTGGTTCACATACTAGAAGTGTTTCTAATATATACTGCTTGCATCATCATTACCATAATTATTATTATATGCAGGTTCCTTATAGCTTCCATTGGTCTGCAATTCACTACAGTAGATGAATATAACCTAACCCTCTTCTCTTCCCCAATGCTAGGAATGCAGGTGTATACTGCCACATCCGGTTTATTTGACACTGGGGAGCAAACTCAATGTTTTGTGTATGCTAGGCAAGGGCTCTATCAACTAAACTACATCCACAGCCCTTTCCTGCCACCCTCATTACCAATCACATAACTGTGGTCACCTGCATCATTTCCTATTCTTTACCCCCCTTTTTGCTTCAGAATGACCCATCCACAGCTCTCATCACGGGACGTTGCAAAAGCTCTCAACGAGTCCATGTTTCCCTTCAGACCACTGATGTTTGGCTTGCCCAGAGAACTCACTCTGAAAGACAGATGTGAAAGTAATATAACTGAAGTTTTAAATGCACTTCCATGGCAAGACTTAGCCTCTTGTGTTTCTGCCATCACCGCAAGTAGATGTGCCCCAGGTGGTGCTAATTCCTGGAGGAAATCTATGAAGCAAGCCCAAAGTAGACTTGTAGCTGGGAGCCATGCCCAGAGGAGCTGAGCCAAGAGCAGCTGAATCCCAGCCAATCCTCAGATATATGAATAAGAAAAGTAAATGTTTGTGATGTAAGCCACTGGGATTGAAGAAGTTTGTGTTGTACAACATTATTGGAGTAATAGATGACTAGTAAAATTGCCAAAATACAGCCCGATCCAGGCAGTAGTCAGATTAATAGTGGGTCTTATACTTCTTCGGGTCCTCGCATGAAAACGTCCTTCCTTTGTCTCTCAGAACAGGGACCATACAAGTTCAGGATGAGCAAGAATTACAAATATTCTTTCACTCTCTTGTCAGAATGCAACTTCCAACCCTCAGGTGGATACAGTGTCCCCACATCCTACACAAGGTGGATACAGTGTCCCCACATCCTACACAAGGTGGATACAGTGTCACCACATCCTACACAAGGTGGATACAGTGTCACCACATCCTACACAAGGTGGATACAGTGTCACCACATCCTACACAAGGTGGATACAGTGTCACCACATCCTACACAAGGTGGATACAGTGTCACCACATCCTACACAAGGTGGAAAGAGTGTCACTGCATCCTACACAAGGTGGACAGAGTTTCACCGCATCCTACATAAGCACAGGCTCACAGTAGGCGTAAGATGTCGTTGGGCGGAATGTTTGTCTAATATCCACTAGAAAGGCAAATTTTGGGGAGCTGGAGAGATGACTCCGTGGGTAAAGCATTTGCCTCATAAACCTGATGGCCTGGGATTGGGTCCCCAGAAGTTGGGTAAAACCTAAACACATCTGCCATCTCAGCATCCTTCTGCAGGGAGATAGGTAGAGACTAGAGAAACCACAGGAGTCTGTGAGACAGTGAGCATCCCCATCCGAGCTTGTCCTCACCCCACCGCATGTAGCGATGACATGTGCGGCCTACACTCCCGCACACACACCAAAGGCAAATTTTACTGATTTTTGCCCATCATGTAATAGTGGCTATATTTAATTTCATACACTCTATGTCTTTTTTTATTAAGATAATGTTGAATTATCAATTCCATTAGCTAGTAAACATGAAAATTTTCTTTTTCTATACTAACTCTATCAATACAATAGGTAAGTGGTAGACAGCGCATTATTGGAAAGGTCTGTGAGAAAATGCCTTGTGTACACAAATTTGCACTCCCAATTTGATAGTTTTGTGCCCTTTCTTTTTTTATTAATAAAACACACCATTGTGTCTGACAGCCAATCGTCTTCGAGTTTCCTGGGCTCTAGTTACACCTGAGGGAAATTCTTCAGAATCGCATTTCTTTTTCCTCCCAGTCTAGTTTCCAACGCAGCACAGTTCCTCTTTTTATTTTTGTAAGCTGAAAAGTTGTTTTATATTAAAGGACTCAATGAACTGTGTTTTTTTTTCCCCAGACACACTTACTTTTCATATACGGGAACTTTCCAGGTGGCTGGTCAAATCACTGCATCCACATGGTACACCGACCTGTAGTTTAAAAGGAAAAAAAAAAACACATTAGAAAAGGCCAGGCTTGCCTCTATTTACAGACAAAACACCGAACCACCCACTTAATTTTCTGAGTGGCTGGCATCTCTGCACCCGAAAACATCTATTATCCAACAAGACACTTATCCGTTCACTCCAAGGAACTGCTGGCACAGCACAGAAGCTGGTTTCTGTGCATTTGTTTTGGTTTTGTTTCTCAAGACAAGATCTTTCTATGCAGGCTAGAGAGATGTATCCGTGGTTAAGAGTGTTTACTGCTCTTGCAGAGGTTAGGATTCCAGCACCTACATGGGGTCTCTCACAGCAGCCTGTGACTCCAGCTCCAGGCTATCTGCTGCCCCCCTCTGGCCTCCACAGGCACATACATCCATGTCCACATACCCATTCACAGCTACACATGCATACACATGGCTAAGACCCATACAAGTAAATCATTTCTAAAAATAACTTTCTCTGTAGCCATAGTTGGCCTGGTATTTGCTACGTGTGTGTGTGTGTGTGTGTGTGTGTGTGTGTGTGTGTGTGTGTGTGTGTGTACACACGTGAGCTCGCATACATGTGCATGGCTTTCATTATGCATCATGAGACTTGATTTTCCAATGCTCAACAGTAAGGTAGGAGCTCCAGAACTGGAAGAAGCATAGTCTAGAGCAGGATGAATAGAGAAGAAATGAAGATGTTTACACTTTGCAGTTCTTTGCCAAACAACGAGGATTATGCTATGTTTGGTCATGTCCTCACAACACACACAGACTGAAGTTCTCAATGCTCCAAATCTGAGCATCAGAGAAATCTTGGATAGCCAGGTTGGTTCTAGAATGTGCCCTAGAGGCCGATAGGCTAATCAGGGATTGGCTGTCAGCTCATGGTCCTGATGGGAGATGGTGAAACTATTAAGGAGTTTATGGGTGTCAGGGGTAACTCAGTGGCAGAGCGCCTACCTTATATCCACAGTGCCCTCTCCTCTCCAGCATGTCAATCAAAAGAACACAGGAAGAGGCGGAGCTAGTGGAAGGAAGTTAGGTCACCCAGGCCACGCATGTTGCGTGTGCCTTCCTTCTGCCTCCTGCTGTACTTGCCAGACACTCGGGGCTGAACAGGGTGCTACACATCCTGGAAGCATGCACTTTGCTCTTCGGTCCCAGAGAAATGGGGGGACAAGTGACTAGGAAGTCTATGGAACTGATCTGAGGCAAAGATTTTCTCCTTCTGAGCTGATTATTTCAAGCGTTTTGTCACAGCTATGGAGAGCTGACCTTGTGGCTCTAGTTCCAAGAGGAGGGGATGGTTGCCCTTCCTCTGAGTCTTTCCTCCTGCTGAGGAAGGAAAGCAGTAACATTTCTCCTGAAGAAGAGAACAATGGTATCTCTTAAGATCAGTGGCCCAACTAAACAAATACTTATTGAGCCTCAAAACTTCTAAAACTGCGTTTTGTTCTATAGACAAAGAAATAAGAGCTGGAAATCCCCAATCACTTCCTTGCTTCAACAACCAAAGCCACCTCTCCACTATCTACCAGGAAATCCCGAGTTAGAAATCCAGGGTGTTTTGGTTCCACCCAACTTTTCTTCATGCTGTCCTTAAGATGCCAAGAGGTCCCTATCACAAACTGAAAGCTCGTGCGTGCCTCTACCTCTACCCTGGATTATTATACTGATGCTTATTAGTGAGGAGAGCCTTGGGTGGAGCCCTCAGGTGTGGGATTAGTATCCAGTATGAGAGGGGCCCAGAGAGCTCTCCTGCCGCCTACTCTCTGTGAGGACACACTAAGAGAGCAAACTTGGAAGCAGGAAGTAGTCCTCGCTGAAGAGAAAATCCAGGACAGTGTGAATTAAATGTTTATAAGATGCATAGTCTGTGGAGCTTTTGTTATATAGCAGGCCAAAGGACTGAGAGAGCACCCTCTGACTGAGAGAACACCCTCTGACTAAGAGAGCGCCCTTTGACTGAGAGAGCACCCTCTGACTGAGAGAGCACCCTTTGACTGAGAGAGAACCCTCTGACTGAGAGAGAGCACCCTCTGACTGAGAGAGCACCCTCTGACTGAGAGAGAGAACCCTCTGACTGAGAGAGAGCACCCTCTGACTGAGAGAGAGCACCCTCTGACTGAGAGAGAGCACCCTCTGACTGAGAGAGCACCCTCTGACTGAGAGAACACCCTCTGACTGAGAGAGCACCCTCTGACTGAGAGAGCACCCTCTGACTGAGAGAGCACCCTCTGACTGAGAGAGAGCACCCTCTGACTGAGAGAGAGCACCCTCTGACTGAGAGAGAACATCCTCTGACTGAGAGAGCACCCTCTGACTGAGAGAGCACCCTCTGATGGAGAGAGCACCCTCTGACTAAGAAAGAGCACCCTCTGACTGAGAGAGAACCCTCTGACTGAGAAGAGAGGACAAGTTATAGGGACTTTGGTGCGGCTGTGGCAGGACAAGATAAAATGCAGTACAGCCAGCAACACAAAGAGCCAGGGAGGAAATAGAAAGTTCTAGAGATGTTTGGAAGCCTTAAATCCTCTGGAGAGGGTGATGTTAAGGAAACAAGGTTTCTCCCACTTTCCAACTCTTGGCTCTAGTTCTCTGTAGAAAGCCACACTGCCTCCGGGTGGCAGAGCTTAACTCCTCTGAGCTTTGCAGTTGGTGGTGAACGCCCACCACAGTGCCCCTCCTTCTATTCAAGATGCAATGGGATGTGCATTGGCTATTGATCCGGGCATACACTCTGAATTGTTCTCATGTAGCTCCTTGTTACAGAACAGATGTTTTCTCCCTGTGTCATTTGAGATGGGCTGAGAATGCCTGGGAGGGTTTGCCTGGTAGAGGCGGCTCTCACCGAGCAGGCTGCTTGGTTATAAATCGCTCCATGATTTCTCCTAACCCTGTAATGACGAAAGTCAAACTCAGCAACTGAGCAGTTAGCCCGTTTTATTTGATTTGATTTTGACTTCCACGAAGCTCTCATGATTTATTTAAAGGTTCTGAAATAGCAAATTGAAATGTGACGTGTTAGGCAGAAAGGGGGATTAAGAACCAAAATATGAGGAGAATAAAATCCATTTTGCAAATCTCCAGACTTGTCCAATAAATTGCTCAGGGAACCTAGAGAGAATTAGCCCTGGAGTGGCTATGAGTATCAGCGTTGACATCTGTGTTTCATAAAACACAAGCTTCAAGGGACCACTTGCTTCTTCCTTAGGTTTGTATTTCAAGTATTCCATGTGAGAGCGGCAAGCGGGAATCATAACAACAGCAAGGGCCTTAGTTTCCCCTTTACTCCAGAGGCAAAGTGTCTACTCAGTTACTCAGAAACAGATTCCTCCAAAATTCACTGTGGTACAAACCTAATTCTGTCAAATCCCCCATTCTAAGCCTGGTATTTGATGGGGAACATAAATTACCTGTATCATTCATGAAGAAAGAACAAATACAATGTGTGCATTCATGCCGTTTTTTCTACCTGAGGGTGTACTCTTCCCAGCAAAATGGAGAATTTGGATCGCTTAATCTTTAAGTTACATGTCAGCATCTCGGTCTCCTTATTCCTCAGCATCTCTAACATACTCTCTACCAGCTCAGAGAGAATTAAGAGGATGCACAGTTTAGGATAGAAAAGATGTCTAAAACCAAGACAGCTAGCAAGTTTCCCTTGAAATCCATGGTCTTATGCAGCTCTGGGGCCTACACACTGTGGCACCAGTCTGCCAGGCAAGATAATGGCACAGCTGTTTTGGGAACAGTCTACTCGCCGACTGGATCTGGGGCCTGCTCCACAGGTGGGAATTTCATGACTGGTACTATCATCCTGGCCAAAAAACCAAAACCACGACTGGGGAAGCCACAGACCCTGGGTAAAAACCTGCTATTCTTATTTTTCTAAGTGGTCATGGTTTTAAATATTTGTGCTTAAACCCACAGACCCAGACTGCTGTCTACCTTGATCAGAGTAGCTCCTTTTGGCAATGGCAGCCACCAATGCAGTGATGCATAACTGGTCAGTGTGTTGCAAATAAGAGACTGGGGGCTCAGCCCACAATAGGACATTTGAACAAGCCTCCCACCCCAACCAAGGCTTGGAGAACATCACAGAAAAGGTGGTGAAACTCACAGGAGAGCCAAGTGATGGAAGGAGGAGCTGCGAAAGGCTGTCTCCTGGACCCACGGTGGCCATCACACTCAGGAAGCCACAGCAGCTATGGTTATCTACGCAAGATCCTGCCAGCCAAATTCTGGCACAGAAAGGAGTCCACCCTGAAACCTAAAAAAACTGATATTCAGAGATACAATGGCATGGTCAAAGACACAAAACAGCCTAAGTGTGCTTGACCAGTATGGTGTTTCAGAGCCTGAGCCATGTTTCCTATCTTTGACACCATCAGTGGCTGATCAGAGTAGGCTACATCACTTCGTGGAACGCTTATGGAAACTGGAATTTAGAACCAAATGGCTGGGGAGGCTGGCTGCTTTAGCGTCCATGGAATTTTCAATGGACAGTAATAAAAATGTCTATTATGTTCATATCAATGCTGTCAACTTAAATTCAGTGTCACAGATTTCCCACAGGTTATTCTGTTTCATATTTACATCTTTTTTTTTAAGCAGGCAAACTTCCTTCCTAGTAACTGGCGTAATTATCTATCTGTACATATATAGATGTGTATATTTCAGATAGATCACATCAACATTATCGACAATAAACATGGCTCACAAATACTAATAAATACAACTTTGAATTTGCTTATAGCTGCCTGACCCCTTGAGTTGCAGCCTCTAGGGATAAGTAATTGAATCACTGCTCTGAAGGCCATGAAAAAGTCCTTCCGCATGGCTGGCCTGTCTACACAACTCCTAACAAGCGGACCTATTTTACTTTGCCTTTTATTTCTTTTCAGCTCCCAAGGAACAAGATAAAACTTTTCTATATTCAAAGATTTATCTCTGCTTTGATTTGCTTTCATGTTGTAATCCTATAAAGAATTTCCC